TGTTCCATCTAGATCACTAATTTTAGGCTATCAGTACCTTTTAAGAGTTCCTAGAAAAGGAGGTAAAAATTAGCTAAAAGATCGTTTGCCCACCTTACTCCATCAGTTTGGAACTCTCTTCCCCAACCCTTGTGACATGCAACATCTGAGCTTAAAGTTAAAATATCTCTAAAGACATATCATTTCTATGTTCAGTAGTTTCATGTTCAGTAAAATGTTATGTAAATTTCAATGACTAAGTATCCATTTAGGTATTTTGTGAATTGCATGGTGTATATTATTTTATGTATTTGTATGTACTCATTTCGTAACGATATGTAAGCGTGCGCGTGTGATGAGCAAGTAGGTGTGTGTGTGTGTGTGTGTGTGTGTGTGTGTGTGTGTGTGTGTGTGTGTGCGTGTGCATGTGTGTGTGTTTGTATGTGCGTGTGTGCGTGTGTTTGTGTGCGTGCATGAATATTGTTCATACATGTATTTATTTAAAGAACCTAGAGCTGTGTTTACATAGGAGTGGGCGCCATAGAAATGATCTACATTATTAACATTATTATTCTGACTTAGCTCCAAACCCTCATTGTTGGCGATTTAGGACTTGTATCATGACTTAATTCTACTCCACTTTGTTGACCTTTAGAACTTGCATCTTTACTTTGCTTCAACCCCACATTGTTAACCCTTTAGAACCCATGTATTGACTTCGCTTATAACTCACTCAAGTTATTAACCATTTAGAAACCATATACAATAGCAATATTAGTCACCATTGTGTCAATAACAAAGCTCCCTTATGTCTTATGTTCTCATCCAGATTTATGTTCCACCTAGATCACTAAAATTAGGCGATCAGTACCTTTTAAGAGTTCCTAAAAAAAGGGGGTAAAAATTAGCTAAAAGATCGTTTGCCCACCTTGCTACATCAGTTTGGAACTCTCTTCCCCAACCCTTGAGAAAAACTCCTTTTGAGTCTAAATTTAAAATATCTCTAAAGACATATCATTTTTATGTCTGTAGATTCACGTTCAGTACAATGTTATGTAAATTTTTATGACTTTGTATCTTTTTATGTATTTTGAGAATTGCATTGTGTATATTATGTAGGTGTGCGCGTGGGATGAGTAAGTTGGTGTGTGTGCGTGTGTGTGTGTGTGTGTGTGTGCGTGTGCGTGTGCGTGTGCGTGTGCGTGTGCGTGTGTGTGTGTGCAGGCACGAATATCGTTCAAAGATGCTTTTATGTAAAGCAATCAGAGCTGTGTTCACACCTGAGTGGGCGTTATAGAAATGATCTACATTATTATTTTAATTTTTCTGACTTAGCTCCAACACCTCATTGCTGACGATTTAGGACTTTTATCTCGACTTAGCTCCAAACCCACGTTAATGACCCTTTAGAACCCATACATTTTGACTTAACTACAACCCCACGTTGTTTACCCTTTACTTACTTTTACTTTTCATCCTCTGTTGCCGTTAAGCGTCGAGGGGAGATGCAGTTTTCTATGGTAGGTCAGCTCAGCAGCTCTTTCAGTTGTGATGTTATGTTTTCTCAGGGTTTCCTTGACACCCTCGATCCACCTTTTGCGTGGCCTTCCTCTTCCTTTATAGCCTGAGTGCTTCGTGTTGTACGCTCTCGAGGCTGGTTAGTCAGGTGACATGCGTAACAGGTGGTCAAAAAATTTTATTCTCTGTCTTTCTATGTAACGCAGGCAGGACTCGGTGCCAATAGCTGCTCTTACATCTTCATTTCTCTGCCTGTCTCGTCTTGTGATGTTAATGGTTTTACGGAGACATTTCATTTCGCATGCGGTGATTTTGCTTTCGTGGGTTTTACTTAATGTCCAGGTCTGGCACTGGAAGCATGTTGGCGTAAATACTGAGGTAATGAGCAGTCTCTTTGTGTCCAGGGAAGTGTTTCGTTGAGACAGAAGGGGTCCGAGCTAGTAGGTGACAGCGTTGGGTTTTTTTGAGTTCGCATTTTTATTTCGCTGTCAGTGGACCCGGTTTCAGAGAAAGTACTACCAAGGTATTTAAACTCTTTCACCTGTTTCAGTTGTTTACTATTGAAAAGGATGTTCAGGGGACTACGGTTTTGGCTCACTTTCATAACTTTTGTTTTTGATGTGCTTATACGAGTTTGCATAGTTCATAGAATGCATGTTTTTAACATGTTGAATGCCTTTGAAAATTTCAGACAAACAAAACCAAATCCCAAAAATCTGCTTTAATGACCGGCATGCGTGTATTTAGGTATTTCACGCAAGTTGAGTGTTGATATCTTTTCAATCTGCACAAAATAATCTATACAATAAGGCGTATTCGTGACAGAGGTCTAGATCTATGGCTTTGTCCTCTCATGAGGTGAATATACAACCATGTGTTGAACTAAGCCATACAACCATTAATTTATACCCGACGTCGGTGGTCAGGCTTTCGGACTCGAAACCGTAAGGTCCCGTCAGGGGCCCGACGTTGTGTCCTTGGGAAAGGCACTTTGCACAAATTTTCCTCACTTCACCTAGGTGGGTATGGGTACTCGGCTATAGACAGCGAAAGGTCTTGTCACTTTGTTAGTGTTTGTGCGCTTAATCAGCTGCTTGCACTGTATGCTTCCCGGGAAGCTGAGAATGTTTCGGAGTGTTCAATGGTCTGCTGGGGTAATAATATAGTGTAAAGCGCATAGAGCTTGCTGTTGAGCGGGGATATACGCTATACAAATGCTATTTATTGTTCTTCTTCTTCTTCTCATTTTACCCCTGAGGTTATCTGAATAGATGAAAGCTAGGATCTTCCACACACCTCTTTGTGGGGGGTGGTTGGCGGGTGCTCTAGATCGGTTTGTTTCTTCTTTCCTATCAAACATCTATCGTCCTTATCACCCCTTCTTCTTTTTTATGTTTGTTGCTCTCTTGTAACACCTCTAATCTTCTGGCGCTCATATGATCTTATGCAATTGCGAGCGCCGTAAAACCTCTACTAAAACTAAACACACCTCTTTCAAAACATAACACATTGCACATGACACAACTTAATAGCCAAAACACGCGTAAAACCTGCCCAAACAACTGATAGGCGTAATCTATTTTTAGACGCCCCCCCCTCTCTGGGATTTGAAAGCGCGAAGACCAGCGGGGATAAAAGTCCACCAAGTTTTATCTCATGTCATCTCTGGGTGTTACGTCCCCTTGTTTGTGAATCACAGGCTCAGCGATAAAGGGATCGTGGCAGTAATTTAATTTTGAGACGTGAGAACTGTATAAGCCTAAGGTTAATGTCCACAGGATGGAGGACTTTAAAAAAAAAAGAGTTTTTAATAGAGGTTTTACGGCGCTCGCAACTGCATAAGGTCATATGAGCGCCAGAAGATTAGAGGTGTTTTTGCTTTAGTTGAGGTTTGCTTCTTCTTTCCTATCAAACATCTATCGTCCTTATCACCCCTTCTTCTTTTTTATGTTTGTTGCTCTCTTGTAACACCTCTAATTATCGTGGCAGTAATTTGAGACGTGAGAACTGTATAAGCCTAAGGTTAATGTCCACAGGATGGAGGACTTAAAAACAAGAGTTTTTAATAGAGGTTTTACGGCGCCATATGAGCGCCAGAAGATTAGAGGTGTTTTTGCTGTAGTAGATGTTTTACGCCACGGCGTTCGCAACTGTCATAAGTTCATATGAGCCCTAGGATATTAGAGGTGTTACAAGAGAGTAACGAACATAAAAAAAAGAAGAAGGGGAGATAAGGACAATAGATGTTTCATAGGAAAGAAGAAGAAGCAAACCACACCAGAGAACCCGCCAACCACCCACATAAGGACTTGGGATAAGTGAATTATTTTAACCTCTGTTTTTCACCAAACAATGGTCTGCCTCATAAAACTGGACAGTCCCCCCCAAAAAATGATTCGGGATAGGGACATTATTATTTTCTTTGGCAACTGGTAACTATGTTCTTCATATCTCCCCACTGTGTCCTGTTCTTCAAATGTAGATTTTCCTGTCAGTGAGATTGTGATCTTTGGTCTATACTTTATACAGGATAGACTTATGAGTTCGCAGTAACATTTTGAGAGAGATTGATAGTTGCAGCATTTTGTGAAAACCTTGTGGAAATAGATGGAAACATTAAAACGGGCATATGTACTGGTCGTGAGATTGAAGTTTGATACTTCGATACAAAATTAGCATTGCCACACTTTGCCACACTGGTGACTGAAAAACATGTGAGGCAGCGTGGTGGAATCAGGCTCTCGTCAAAATAATCAGAGTGAAGAAACTTGCATTTTTCCACAGGTTTGCGTAATATTTTTAAATAGAAACGAAGAAAAAAATAATTAGTTTCGTACAACCTGCAAAATGGTTTAGCTGGAAATAGAGGGTTGAGAGAAAGAAAGTCATAAGATCTACGCATTATGTGATTTCGTGCTTTCCCTGGCTTTTTAAAAAATACATGAAGTCTCATTTCTGTAGTTTGATTTTGTGATACTGTATCTGTACACAGTATGTTAAGCGCTTAGAGCATTGCATAAGTGAATATGCGCTATATAAATGCAATCCATTATTATTATTATTACTATTATTATTATTATTGTTATTATTATTAAGACCGATAAATAATTATTATAATGCAGGTACTTTGGATAAGAGAAAACGGAGGGGACAAGGCAGAAGTCCTATGTCTTTGCATCGCATTATTTTTAATTTGTAACCTTTTGACTCCTTGCGCACCGACGTACATAATGTGGACAAGAATGAATGTGTCTTGTGTCCACTGGCTTGTTACGAACTCTGAAGAAACGAGCCGCCTCTCTCTCTCTCTCTCTCTCTCTCTCTCTCTCTCTCTCTCTCTCTCTCTCTCTCTCTCTCTCTCTCTCTCTCTCTCTCTCTCTCTCTGTCTGTCTCTGTCTCTCTCTCTGTCTCTCTCTGTCTCTCTGTCTCTCTCTCTCTCTGTCTCTCTCTCTCTCTCTCTCTCTCTCTCTCTCTCTCTCTCCCTGCGGGCCACGACAAAAGCCTGACTCGCTGGGCCGTCCAATGAAGTCACGGGATTTAACCAGGAGCCAGGCGTGTCGGTTGGGCCTTACCTGCTGCTGCTGCGTCTGTACAGGTAAAAGTAGGTCAGCTATTTGTGTCATATGTCACGACATTCTGAAACAACATGGCCGCTGGTGCGACGCGTTGAAAGAGTTGCCGTGTTAGACAAACACAGCCTGTGGAGGACCCCGCGACCATCGCAGGCACATATCTTTGCGGTTTACCCCCACCGGATTTGCATGCGCTTAGTGTGTTGTTCAAAGGCCTTGTGTGTGTGTGCGTGTATTCCCTTCGTGTGGGTAATTCCACTACTCACTGCGAATTAAGAAGAAAACAAGGAGAAATTGAAACTAGCCTCAGTGTTTTAATCTGGCCTATCATTGTGTTGTGTGACCAAATTAGGACTTTAACCCACTTACTACCCCAGCGTAGAGTATTTGTCTGGAGTGGTGTAGGGTGGCAGGGAAGAGTGTTGTGTTTTCCCCGCTGTTCACAGGGCCCATCTGCTCGTGTTGTGAAGATATCCGAGGAGTAACGAGAGCCTAAACATGTCCGTGTCTTCTGGAGGCTCGAGAGGGCCGGTCAAACCAAGGTCTCATGGCGGAAGTAACAACAGTCTGGAACCGAAAGTAGCGATTGTGGAATCGTACGGCGATGACCAGTCATACAGGTGAGAAGTGTGCTCGTTGACCTAGATTTAGATCTTTTATGTGAATTGAGTAATGCTATGGATGTTTAGATCCTTTTCTTTAAAAAAAAAAAAGACGCCCCTGACTGTATGGAAGGGTAGATACAACACTTCTTGATTCTATACCAAAATCAAAATCTGATTTAGATCTTGATAAACTTCTGTTCTCTCCCCCTTTTTAAACTTGATTTTTTAAACTGTCAGATTGAGATATCGGGGTGGATCCTTTTCATTCAAATTTTGAAAAGAATGCGGAAGTGCTTGCAGGGGTTAACATAACATGTTCAGACTACGCATATTATTATACCTTTACGACAGCTGTAAAACTTGATAGTTGATAACACACCCTCTGGAAAGTTTAGTTGTTATTTTTACTTTTATTTATTATGGGCTGCTATAATACGCTATGGAGATGTAGTAGGGGTGGCAGGTAGTTTGTGTAGGGTATATATACACACCACATGCTCCAAGTTAAGATTCCAGAGAACTCGAAGTAAGGTTCTTTTATGACATAATTGGTCGCGTTTAAGGACAAGCTAGCTAACCCAGAATTCAGGGGTTTCCAGAAATCTTGACCTACAGCATAAGTGGGCATTGTCCTACCTATAGGAGAAGTTAGGTTGTATTAGTGTGGTATATATTTCTTTGGTTATGGAGAAAGCTCTCCTTGTCTTTTAAAGAAACTGAAAAAAGGGTCCAAAAACTTTACCTTCGATTTTCTCAAAACAGCATTTTTCGGGATAGCCGCGACCATTATAATATAGAAATGTTACAGTAGGCCTACTTCGTTGCTCCAACCATTTGAGGGTTAAATCTTCTTTTGATTGTGGGGTGTAATATTTGATAGAATGAGGTAGCTGAAACAGAAGATGCTTGTAGGGCAGCCCCTGATTAAACTGATTTACATCGTAAGTTCTGACTTCGAGAAACATAAAAACCAAAGCTGTTATGAGACAGTGGTATTATAATAATATTCTTCTTCATCTCAATCAAAATAATTCACAGAACCTGAAACAGTTCACGAACCAGACAAAGAAAGCATTAGATTCAGATACTTTCTACGCCCATTTTTTTTTAGCACTCTAACGTGATAAAAACATGAGCATGATGCGGTTACCATTTGTTATTTGTGTAAAATTTTTCAGAGTACTGTCTTTAGTGTTGGTTGTAAACGCTGAAGCTTCTGTCTGAATTGTTAATACGACAAAAACAAACACAAATCTCCCACAAAACAACAAAAACAACAAAACATTCTAGTGTTATAATGTGTGTAGAGACTTGCAGTTTTCATAATGATACTTTCGTATTTTCCCCCTGGTTTTGTGCTATTGAAGCTAGAGAGGTGAGCAGAGTATGTCTAATTTCCTGTAAGGACTTCTCTGTTGACATCCACCCCTCGCGCTCATGACCGTATGCATTTGTGAGCACCGTAAAACCCTTACTTAAACAAACAGTTTCCTCCTTTCGTGTATCTTCAACTACTTTTCCCTCTCGTCTTCAGCGCCGTCACCGGTATTTTTATTCTTCCCACTTCCTCCTTCTACCTCGTCATTTTTAAAATTATCTATTAGAGTTGTCTTTGAATCACCACCACCGCCATCATCATCATCATCATCATCATCATCATCATCATCATCATCATCATCATCATCATCATCATCATCAT